TCATCGGTGGGGAGGGGAAAAGAAAAAGTTAATTGGGAGTTAATTGACCAGATTTCATGAATTATTTAGGAGCGACAGGATCATACCTACTGAATTTAACAATTAACACAGAATTTATTAAAGAAAAGAAAATGTAGTCTTTAGCCTTTTCGATGATGTAAATAAGAATTGACTGACTTTGAACCGTCCTGAAAAGAGGCTGTCGATCTTGAAATTGTGACTCTCCTCTGGTTTGGTGCCAAAAGAGCAGATCTCTAAGCCTGTTGACTAAGGCGGAAGTCCCAACACCGAGTTCAGGAAGGCTTACTCAACGGCTCGCCCTACGATCAGAGGCCGGGAGATCCAGACCGGCCGGTGGCGTCCGTTCCAGAAGACCTAAATCGGCCAAAGGGGGTGGTTTTTGTGGAGGTTCTGGAGACGAGCTGTGAGGTTCTCCAGAAGTGTTTGTAGAAGTTACGGGGTTTTTTGACTTCAAGTCCCAGAATCCTCCAGCCAGCGCAACCATTGGCCATTGGGGCATGGGGATGAAAAACATGTGTCTCTTCTTTCAAATTCTGGCCCAAGCGGATGTTGGATTTTTGATAAATGGTCTGGTCAAAAGCCAGGGCTTGTGGGGCTTTGGAGGCAGGAGAAATCTGGGCCATGACTCCTACCTGTGCAACAAACGCTACAGGCAGAGAGGAAAGTGACTCCAAAGCGTCGCCTTGGGCATGTCGTTTGGTTCCTCAACGGCTCCCCATGGGCCAACCTTTGGTCTCTCGAGGCAGCCAGGAGGGCTTGCAGTTTTGCACAGCAGGGTGGGGGGAAGGAGTGTGGGTGTGGGTGTGGGGGGCAATTACAGAAAAGAAGCCAGTTGACCAGGAGATCCCGGGAGCGGCTCCCCTTCTGGCATCTCTGGCGCCAGCGAGCCCTGGCTGGCTGGCGCACCCCTTTGTGCTAGGCCTGAACAGGACTTAGCCGTGGCGTCCCCGGGGCAGACGGCGCGAGGCCTCCAGTGCAACCCCCAGGGTTCCGCCCAGTGTTGGCGAACACAGGTACGGCTGCAGCTGCTTAGTGGGGCTGAAGCTGGGCAGCTTCCCTGTGCGCAGAGAAGCTCGGCTGGCCTTCGGGGTGGGCAGGAGCAGCAGCGGCAGCAGCAGCAGGGCTACCGAGGTGTGCTGCTCTCCAGCCCTCAAG